CAAACTGCCAATTAACATTTTCCATTTTTATTTCTTGACTCAGTTTCCACTTTGTTTGAAACGGGTGGTACGTTTGGTACAGTTTTGGCACCTTGAAAATGCCGGTCTTTCAGCTGTAAATAAATGTGGCCAAATTATTGGGACAATGCACATTGATTTAGTAGTGTGCTATTTTCCAGCTTCTGAGATGATGGGAGAAATGTTCTCTCATAGATAGTTCATTGTGATTTGGATCATTTCTTTTAAGCTGAGCATGGAAACGCAGGGCATAAATAATGAACAGCAAAATCGTAGAAATTCGGAATTAGTTTTGGCAAATGGCTACCCTACACCATCACTTTTGTTTAAGCTAAGTTGTATAGTTTCAAATATAAAATAAACATTTACTTTTTACAGCTGTGTATACATTTGCGAGAAGCAGTTGTCAGGGTTTAATGCAATTACCAAGAACTGATTGTATCTGGACATTGCCTGACATACTAAAAGTACCAAATAAACATTTAAAAAGTGACTATTTTGATCCGTTTCCTCTGAAACACTAATTTGCTTATCAGAACCTAATATGTTGCAGGCCGTCATTATTTAGGTGTTTTTTTAAAATCAAGTTCTTACTGCCTATTCTATTTCTTTGAGGCCCATAATAAGGAACACATTTTGGACCAATGCCAATAAAATTCCACATCTATTACAGCACCATTAGTTAAACCAGAAAGTATAGAAAGGGTTTTAGCTTTCAAATATGCAGAAATGTCAGACAGAATCAAATACATTGAACAAAGTTAAGCTGATTCTTTTCATACAGATTGCATTTAACTACATTCTTTTCAACCTACTAAATGCTCCAGTTTAGTATGGGAACAGTTCCAAATAATTTGTGTTCTGACTGAACATGTAAAAAGTATTGCACATAACTGAATCCTTTAAAGGGGAGTTTTATGTCATTAGAGACAAGAGGGAGGAGAGCAATTATGGTAAAAGCTTGTGGTTGTCTTATCACTGTTGTTTAGCAGAAGTATAACTAACAACCGTCTGCAGTGTTATCAGGAAAGCTTTCTCTGCAATGTTTATAATGATGATATCACAACTGAAATACTTCAATGGGAACATTAACCCAAACCTATAGCTGCCACCATCTGGAATGTCAAACAGTGAATGCAATAACACCGGACTGTATTTGGAAGCCAGAAGTTCTGTGGTGCAACACTTTTTTTAAATTGTCAATCTAGATGATGATAACAAAGTCAGCTTTGATCTTTTCAATTCGAGTTAATTTAAATTTTATTCATCCACATGCTTGAACAACAAGTATGATTATTGATTTGTGATTTGACTTATTATTGTCACATTCACCTAGGTACAGTGAAAAGTTTTGTTTTGCGTTCAGTACAAGGTGATCATACCATACAAAGTGTGTTAGGGTAATAGAACAGAGTGAAGAATACAATGTTATGCCTGCAGAGATAGTGCACCAAGAGCAAGGTGAACACTAAATTTGAAATTTGAGAGGTCCATGTAACAGTCAAATAACAGCGGAGATGATGCTGTTCTTGAATCTCTTAGTCCATGTGTTTAAGCTTTTGTATCTTCTGCCCAACGGAAGAGATTGGAAGGAATTATAACTGGGGTGGGAGGGGTCTTTAATTATGTTGACTGCGTTTCCCGAGGCAGTGAGAAGTGTAGATGGAGTCAATAGATGGAAGGTTGGCTTGCATGAAGGACTGGGCTGTGTTCACAACTCTCGGTAGTTTCTTACGGTCTTGGGCAGAGCAGTTGTCATACCAAGCTGTGATGCATCCAGATAGAATGCTTTCTATCGTGCATCCGTAAAAATTGGTAAGAGTCTTTGAGGCACAGTTCAATATAATAGCAGTATAGGATGTTGGAGCTGAAGTGGGGAAAAGTCTTGCACATCCATGCAGAGTTGAAGCCCAGGACAAAAAAGCACTGAAAGAACTGTGGATGCTGGAAATCAGAAACGAAAGCAGAAATTGCTGGTTCTGAAGAAGGATCACCGGACCTGAAATGTTAACTCTAATTTCGCTCCATAGATGCTGTCAGACATGCTGAGCTTTTTCCAGCAATTTACATTTTTCTTTCTGAAGCCCGGAATATTTTGTATTCAGGCACTGTAAGTCAATTCTCACTCAAACAAGAATGGAGGCATCAGTGGGAAGGAGTGAGAATTCCACCCACCATTGGGGACTGTTGAGAATGATTAGAAACACTGTGATCACAAGAAGTAGAAACCAGCATTGGCCACTCAGCCCATTGACTGAGTCGGCAGGGTGGGAGAATTGAGTGTTAGTCGCACTGACAGGGGAGGAGGGAAGGTTCAATGTAGGGAAGGTCCAAGCCCGATAAGGAAATAAACAAAAATAAATAATATGACTATGCCAGGCTTCTTCTGAGTCCTTCCAATATTGGTTTTCATAGACATATACAACACCCTTTGAGATTTCAGGGCATGGAAATAAATTCGTGTCAGGGTTTGATTACATCACAGGATTGTGACATTTGAATATTTACAAGGCCTCCTCCTGGAAACAAAGAATGAAATTTAATCTGGGCAGAGCCTGACTGGAATAAGAAGGGCTCTGCCCCTATTTTACACACCTGCTGTACTTCTGCCTGAGGTTTGGTGGTGGGTGGGTGGGTGTGCACAAATCCCAGCTTTAGTTCATGAAATTTGACTGTTGTTGGAAAAAGGACAAATCTTTTGTTGAAGCTTTTCATCTTTCCCTCATTTGGACATTTCACATGCCGATGAGAAGATACATGAAGAAAAACCTTGTCAAAATATGTCTTTTTTTTCAGCACTGTTCAATTTCTGTACCACTAAATAGCTATTAGGGAAATCATTCAATGTGAATAATAATGAAATTCTGAGTTATCCTTGTAACAAATCATTATGCATAAAATGTTGATGGATTAAACCCTTTCGATTGTTGCAGTATAATTCTGTATATATGCATTAACATTTAATCACTAAAATTTACACTTCAAGCCTTCAAGGTTAGACCTTCTTAAGGAAAAAGATGAACAGAAAGTGAACCAGTATTCCCCGAATATTGGTCCATTGAAGCCACCTACGAGCAGCGTGAATTCAGTTGTCCTTTTCATTTTCTTTCCCCGTCTGGGTCAGAGTTCAACAGTATTTTGGTGCCTTCTGACATGACAGATGACATGGTTTGAGAAAAAAAACACTGTTTTCTCACTGCTTAATCCTGTCAGGTTTGATTAAACTTATCAATTGCATATATTTGGTGCCAGCAGTAGGCTTAATATCACCAGAATTAGCCCTCTAATTATAGTTATCTGTAAAAGCTATCTTTGCAGCTCCCCACTGTCACTTTTGAGAACTTAGCAAGCAACTGGAGAGGTGAAGGGAAAGACAGAAAATCTCATCAGCAGAACAAAGCAAGTCCTGACAAAGTCTTAATGTCCAAGGAACCTTTTGCGTGTCACCTAAATTTAGAGAACACTGAAGCTTAAAGTCAAAGACAAATGCAATGGTCTCATTATCAAGATTTGAAAGACTGTTCTGGCACTGCAAAGTTATTTTTGAAAGTAATTTGATTAAAATTAATGCAAGTTCAAGTTCTAATGGGGAGTCACTTCGTGAGTTTCCTGCAGATTCATTTCCTCCAAATCCAATGCATTTGCTTCTACTTCTTTCCACTTCATGTAAATCAAGTGCAGAAACATACTATAACAGTGAACCGAACTGCAAACTTCCCTGCTAAGAATGCTTTCTTCAGGCCTCTGCCATGTCCCCTAGACTTGCAAGTCTAATTGGAAACTTTAGATGAGTCGCTACAGCAACAGAACATCATCTTCTTGAGAAAATGAATTTCTGGCTAATCTCACTCCTTTGAGGGAGTTCTCTAAAACTGCAGTATTTGTAACTGGTCTAAAAAGGCAAGATAATTTATAAGTATCTCACCAAATAAATAGGAATGAAGCACTGAATCATTCATAATTTCAATTCAGTTGTTGGTTTATTAATGGATTAAGCTCTCAGATCCCAATATGAATATTGCTGAGAAGATAATGGTGCGGCTTGAAACGCTTTCTACTATTTATGTGCAAATCAGCCAATGACTTCCAGTGACTGTTGTCAGGAATCTATGATTTTAGGCAAGTAATTTTTCACAGTTTGCATTTGAGTGTGTTGTTGAATCTAGTTCTTTTCACACAGACAACTACATCATAATAACTGTAACATTGCTTCAGCATTAGATGACCAAGTTTCCCTAAGACACCCAGATGATTCAGCTTGTCCCTCATAAACTGTGGACTTCTGACAATCTCTTAAAACTATTCTAAATGGCCTGACCCCCTCCTTTCATCTATTTATTTCTATCAGTGTCTCATTCTACACATTTCTTGCTAATTCACTAATTTAATCACTCTGATAAAGCAACCTGTAGGTTGTTCTGACCCTGTACCTGACCCAACTTTCCAATATCAGCAGAAGTAGGTGACTGCTTTTAATGAACATGATTGTGTCAACATTTTTCTTATCGTTGTTTGTTCTTATTGCCCTGACTACCATTAGGCCAGTTCTTGTTCTGACATAAGCAGAGATGTTTAGCATTGATGAGATCTTAACGACATGCATTGTGACCTATCCTGTGGATGTTAACCGATGAAATCTAAAGTTGTTGTCCAAGATTCTGACGCTCCTTCATGCGCTGTGTGAAAATGGCATCTCAATCGTGACACCATATTCAATCAGATCAAATTTCATGATGCTGCTATACTGACATGAAGGATACAAACTAAACTCACCACAGAAAGTTAAGATTCCAATCTAAATGCTACTTTTAACAGTATGGTAAATCGTAACACAATATTAGTGTTTGTACAGATTATTGTCTGGCAAGATAGTCGTTTACTGCTCACAGCAGAACCTGGCCCAGCTTATTGTGTAAATACATTGAAAATATTATTACACAGTGAAATGGATTGATGTTGTCTTCTTTTATTTTGTTTTGTAGGTACCAGATACACACAGGACTTCAGCATTCTATCATAAGAGCTGGGCAGCCTAATTGTATACCCCTTGCTAATGTAACACTACCTCAAAAACTTCAAGAAGCTGGCTACTCAACACATATGATTGGAAAATGGCATCTAGGCTTTTATAAAAAGGAGTGTCTTCCAACTCGAAAAGGATTTGATACATTTTTTGGATCACTTACCGGTAGTGGTGATTATTACACCCACGATATCTGCGAAGGACCCAAGAGTTGTGGCTATGACTTGCATAAGGATGAAAATGTAGCTTGGGAGTACCGAGCTCATTCTTATTCAACCTTCTTGTACACCCAAAAAGCAATCGATATTTTAGCATTGCACAACCCTAAGGAGCCAATCTTTCTCTACATAGCTTTCCAAGCTGTACACACACCTCTGCAGGTACCCAAAAAGTACCTGGGCCGGTACATGTCAATTGAGAACATAGGCCGGCGGAGATATGCTGCTATGGTTACGTGTTTGGACGAAGCGGTGAATAACATTACAAAGGCATTAAAAAAATACGGTTACTACAACAATACTGTGATAATCTATTCCTCAGACAACGGAGGCCAACCATTAGCTGGAGGGAGCAACTGGCCGCTTCGTGGGCGGAAAGGAACTTACTGGGAAGGAGGAATTCGTGGTATTGGCTTTGTACATAGTCCTCTAATAAAAAACAAAGGAAGTGTGAGTCAAGGATTGATGCACATCACAGACTGGTACCCGACTCTAGTGACACTGGCAGAGGGAGAACTTGAGGAGAATTTGGGACTTGATGGATATGATGTATGGGAAACAATCAGTGAAGGTAAACCTTCTCCACGGACTGATATACTGCATAACATTGATCCTCTTTACACACGTGTTAAAACCAGATCACCTCATGATGGATTTGGAATTTGGGACACAGCTGTCCAGGCAGCAATCCGAGTCAGAGATTGGAAACTACTCACTGGAAACCCGGGCTTCAGTGACTGGATCCCCCCTCAAACCTTCCCAAATTTTGGCGGGAAATGGTGGAATCTTGAAAGAATAATATGGGCCAAAGGAAAATCTGTTTGGCTGTTTAACATAACAGCTGATCCGTATGAAAGAGTTGATCTTTCTCAGCAGTATCCTGAGGTTGTCAAGAGGTTGCTCTTGAGACTTGCTCAGTACAACAAAACTGCCGTTCCTGTCAAGTACCCACCAAAAGACCCAAGAAGCAATCCTGACCTTAATGGTGGTGCTTGGGTGCCATGGGATAATGGGGATGATGAGGAAAAGAACCAACTTAATAGCAATTTGGGAGAAAGGCCCTGCAACATCTGTAACACCATACTACGATTCAAAAAACCTGTTTGGGGTTAGTGCTCACTTTCGAGATTTAAGTTATATAAAAGAAAAATGTCTAATCAGTGCTATGATAGCACTTTACACTTTAAAGATGGTGCTAGCGTTAGGTATTTTTGATATATCAGCAACAGATTAATGTACAATCTGGGAGGGTATTTTATCTTACCTGTGGCCCACACAGGACCAACAGAAGATTAATGAGGGCTGCTCAAGAGATGGACAGGGCCTGCCTCCCTCTGCACTTCACTCACCAGTATAGTGAGATACAGGGTGAAAGGTGTAAATATGTCTTTCTTTTTAGAGAATGCATAGATTTGTATCAGTGGAAATCCAAGACACCCCTTTCTTCTCAGGTGTACTGAAAAATATGTTTTTGCTCTCATTTGGGTCAAGTTTGGGAACACGTGTTTGTAAAGATAATGTTTATATCAGATTTTTAATTGAATTTCTACACAAAATAAAAAATACAAGTGTCTTTCAGCCTTGGACATTTTAACCATCTAACCTCATTTTAATGCTAAACAAAAACCGAAGAACTGCAAATGCTGTAAATCAGGAACAAAAACAGAAATTGCTGGAAGCTCAGAAGGTCTGCCAGCATCTGTGAAGGGTCACCGGACCCGAAGCGTTAACTTTGATTTTTATCTTCACAGTTGCTGCCAGACCTGCTGAGCTTCCAGCAATTTCTGTTTTTGTTCCTCATTTTAATGCTGTTGGTCAGTCAGAATTAGGTTTATTGTCACGTGTACTCAAGTTAAAAAAGAACAGGAGTACAGTGAAAATTGTGCAATGTCGCCAATGTATGATATCATTTTAGGTACAAAGTACCTGGGTACAAATCTTAGGTACAAGAAAAAAGGTTACACTACGTTACAGATATATGTAATATAAGTTATTAAATAAGAACTAAAGCTAAAAAGATAGACATTACAGTCTTTCTATAAGGGTTTTCATGTGGTCTACCCAGGCTGCATCGGTTCCCAAACAGAAGCCATCTTCGCTCCAGGCCCACTGGCCGTTGTCCCCATACCACTCCAGGCCGCTGGTTGTCCCCACTCCGCTCCAGGTCCCTGGCTGTCCCCACACCGCTCCAGGTCCCTGGCTGTCCCCACTCCTCTCCAGGCCGCTGGCTGTCCCCACTCCATTCCAGGCCGCTGGCTGTCCCCACTCCATTCCAGGCC